AAAACCTCTTCGATCTTTGTGAATTATATCGTTCATTACTTTTGAATTTGTGTCGTGAGAACTTCACTAAAGATTTTGTAATCCGTATTCAATAGCGTAATGGGTCGATAGTTTCTTAAATTATCGACGTCTTTTCCTTTCTTCAATATAAGGGTTATTATTCCATCACATTGAGTTTGGCTCATGTGACCAGTGATACACGCCTGGTTATAACATTTTAGCAGAGAGTCTTTCAAATCTTCCCAAATTACTTTATAGAACTCGCAAGGTAATCCGTCTGAACCTGGACTTTTGCCGTCTGTCATTTTAAAAAGTGCATTTTTACATTGCTGTTCTGTTATTTGTCCTGTGCACCTAAGAGAAATATCTTTTTTCAAAGAAGATATATTTAGAGTCTCAATAATATTTTGGGCATAAACATGGTCAGGTTGGCCAAACTATACAGTGTTTCGTAAAATTATTGTATTTCTTTCATTATATCCTTTTGATTGGTTGAGATACCATGTTCTGTGGTCGATATTGTAGAATTTAGCTTTCTTCGTTTTTCAAGTCCAAAAAAATACTTAGAGTTTTTTCTCCATCTTCAGCCCATTTTGCTTTACTGCGTATAATATGTCCATGTGTTATGCTTTGATATGATAAATTCAGCTTTTCCTGTTCCTTTAAAAGATTTTGATAGGTGTCTGTCGAATTATTTGAGTGCATTTCGTTTATTAGTTGGCTGATTTTAAACTCCAATTCTCTTCTTATTTTTTGCTTCAAGTACTTCTGTGTACTTATGCTTTCCCCCTTTATCAAACATTTTAGAACAATGAACACTGGAGACATTTTGAGGTGGGCCACAGATCAATTATAAATTGCAAGGGTTGTTGATTGAAATAATTGATTCGTTACCAAAATCAGCTTCACACGTTTTGTAAAAACAAGATATCTATTTGCAAAACATGCTTCGCCGTTAAAACGCATTGTGACTCAACAAACACATTCTACGGCATGATGACCGTATAAGGGGAATAGCAATTTCAATAGTAGCGTATATCGAAACATGGGAATCAGACATCAGTTGAATGGCAAAACGAAAGTTCATCAAAAATTACATTCAATATAGATTCCATCTTCTCCTGAAAACTATGAAGTAAAAGGACAGCTATGCTATAAAGTTCTTGAACATCATTCATCGAGACCATCAAAATTCAAATTTTATCTGAAAGCAGGGTTTCCATATCGATGCAAATCAAAACAAAGGCTCGGAACCCACCAAAAATTAATGTATTAGTTGATAATGTTCAGCAGCATGTAACCCACTAATAGTCAGTTGAATAAAATTCATTCGGAAAACTCTTTTCTATAATAAAAAACTTAGTGGGCCACAGAACTTTCGCGCAACAAAAAGTGGGCCACGAATGAAAAAAGGTTGAGAACCACTGTTTTAGAACACCCAGAACAACAGGGGATCAACCGGTTCATGAGAATGATCAAATATTGCTTTGGATATTGTTCTTTTCATAAGATTTAGGTAATTTTCATCTTTTAACAATGAACAATTGAGTTTCCAGTATTGTTTGCCTTTCTTGACTTGATTTATGTTCAAGTCTAAAGTACACAGGGCGTGGTCTGAATTGACCGCTGGAATAATAACACATTTCGTCGTCTGCGTGACTAGATGTTTGGAAATAAGAAAAAAAATCGATACGTGTCATGATCTTGGTTGGTTTTTGAATATGAGAAAAACACCGTTTTGTCGGATATTCCGATCGGAAGACGTCAGATAAATTATATTCCTCCATTATATTGAGAAGAGTGTTTCTAGACCGTTGATTCGCATGAAGTGGTCTACCTCCTTTTTTGTCCAGATCATCATTTAAAATTAAATTGAAATCCCCAGCGAGTATCACGTGATCAGTTTCTAGTACATCAAGCATTAATTGTTCGAAAGGCCGACATTATCTTCATTAGGTGCATATATATTGATTAAACCGATTCGCTCGGATCCAATCTTCACTTCTAATGCAACATATCTTCCATCATCTGATTGTGTTAATTTTCAATTTGATATGAGATATTATTTTGAATAGAATGCATACCTCTCGTGACGAAGAAGAATAATTGGGAAAAACGCCTGTTTCTCCCCATTCTCTCGTCCATTGTACTATATCATTATCGGTGCAATGTGTTTCTTGTAAATAAACAATGTCAATTTTTTTTTGCTTGAGAAAAAGAAATATTTCTCTTCTTTTCTTGTATGATCGAATGCCTTCAACATTTAAAGAGGATACTTTTAGTTTGCATCCAGACATTTTAGGGTATTATGTTAATGTTACTTCCCGTTGAATATTGTCCACAGTCACAGTATGGTGCCTTATCTGATGCCTTTGTTATACCACAAGGGCGATTCGTAATATAACACGAGCATTTGCTATTTAGACATTTTTCGTAGGATCCTTTACTGGTGAACTTATTTAGTTATAAGCATCTACACTGAATATAAAAATTGAGGCATTTACTACATGTCCAACAACCGTTTTCATATTCACATATTTCAGTGCAGCAAGGAGACGTAATAGTCGATGCAGATATTTCGATTACTTGAGCCTTGTCCTTATCATGTATACTTGGTGTTCCAAGGGCATATATCAATAAATCCATTTTATCTATTGGTTGATTGTCGTCTTCGTCGTCACTGGTTAATTCATCATATTTTGGTTGAGTAGCGGGTTTATCATAAGGACTGCTTGAATGTCCCCCTTTCCCAGCTAATGACTGCGGAAAAGGATCTTCAAATTGAGATATTTGCTGTTCTGCGTTAGACATCTGTAAACGAGGAATTGTTTTCGGTATTGGGTTTGAAGCTGTTGCAGTAGTTACTCTATAATTTTGCTTAGGCAAATTGGCTTGTTTATCTTGTGGTGATTTGTTTGATGAGTTTACTTCATTAATTGAAGACGTCGATTTAATTAAAACTTGTTTTCTGATAGATTTGTTTTTGTTTGGGTTCCATTGTGGACAATCTATCTTGAAATGCTCAAAAGAGCCGCATTCTTTGCATATTTTCTTCTGGCCACGATATTTAACAGTAAGCAAATAGCCATCAGCATATATGTAGCTAGGAATCGGATGATTCAGTAACTCCTTATTGGACACGTAGTGGACATAGCGATCGTTTCAATAATATGTTGTTGTTCTTTGACACGTTTGAAGAAATCGCTTTTCTCTTCGAATACTGGACCAATTGCTTTGAAATTTTCAGTGGTTAAAGATAAATTTTTTCTCCGGAAGGCTATTCCTTTTTACATGACGGTATGACGTCATTAAAAATTATTCCCATTGGGTGGCGCTACGTGTCCATATAATTGAGCATAGCTCTCTAGTTTTGTATGTCAATTTCCATCAGCCCATTCGCAATGCCATCATCATCAGTTAAAAGTCTTAATTCAGATGTTACACATCCGTTTTTGTCATGTGGCCTGGAACCCATCCTATTTCAACTTTTACGACTTCTGGAATATACAAATACCATTTATACTCAGATGAAAATATTTCGAAAGTTTCAATGCGTTTTGTCTTGAGGTGCATGTTACGTCTACTGAACTATATGATCTTACAGCGGTGCTCTTGATATTCGATTTATCCAAACATTGTAATGCTAGCTTTTTTGCTTCATTTATTATTTCCTCTACAAAAATACCATCCTTATTAAATTGTATATGTAGACTATTTGGTCTTGGCAGATCATGCAATTTCAATTTATCCCTGTGAGGTGATATATTCGAAGGTAAACCTTTACGCAACGCTTGAGAAAAAGCCATAGTTCTGTCACCAATCTCAACTCAAATAAATAACGTCACAATCAGTTAGAACGGTGAACGTATGGATTAGAGCGCCTATAATGGTAAAAAAAACAGAATATCATAAAAGCGGAAAAAACAGTTTCATCAATGTTCATCTTAACTCTACCGTAATTTGAAACTGTAATTTGACCTAGTTGAAAAACGTTAATTGTCACGTTTGTGAATTTCGACTCAAAATCCTTTAAATATCAGTGTAATGATTTGAAATAAAAAAACATAAAAAAAAAACAGCGCACCAGAAGTATGTGTATCAATATGGAGGTAACTAATTTTGTTTGCCTATTATACATTATTAAATCCTATTATACAAGTTGTTAACGGACTGAAACTTATAGACAGGGGGTATATTGACTTTGCTAACACAGACGGTCCCCGAACTCGTAACAGAATTAAAGAAATAGGAAATATCGGAATAAAATTTTGTCTTAACCCTAACCTTGTACACATACTACGAGAGTACAGAAAAAACGTAGGTATTAATTTATTTTAGATATTTTTGTCGAGGTGGAGGGTGTACACCGACTGCATCTTAAAATACTCCGGCAGTCTTTTATTTAACTCAGCGCTTGACTCGGATGACTCGTAAAACGTCTTGACCTGCGACTGGCAGTTAAGGAACTTTTACACCCAGAAGTGCCATGTAGCAGTTCAAATAGGGTAACATTTTACAAGCTTTGGTAGAATTTTCACGATTAACGTTTTGCGCCTAGCATTGTTATCCCTATCCAACTGCTCTGTGGCTCCTTGGGTGGTCGCGGGTCCCGGTTAGGAATCGCTGATTCAGAAACTAGAGGCCTAAGTGTGCTTTCTAGCTGTTCAAATAATGCTGAGTCATATTCTACAAGCTTTTGTAGAATTTTGCTGAGTAACTTTTTATTTGGACCTTATAAATGATAATTATGCCAAGTCATATTTATGAGTCTCCTAGCACAGTTGAATTTCATTTGCCTAATGTGGGCAAAGCAAAGCACTTAATTATCAAACTACTACTGAACCAACTTTGATTCAGAGATTCTCTCCCTAATATACCTGCCCTAACCCTATGGTAGGCGTGGTCTTTTTTCACGCATGAGTAATATCCCATTTTACGGTTCCTTTTCTAATAGGTTCTCATAAATTGACAAAATAATAACAAACTCACAAATGATCGAATCAGTATTTATTATCATGTTCGGTTATATACAGAAATCACTTGGAGAAATCTATGAATTTTATTTTCTGAGCAAAAAGTTTCAATAAACAAGGAGACCAATTCAAGGCATGGGTTATACGGTTAATAATAGTAAAGAAATAATATAAGTAATAAAAAGTGAGAATTCTTTGTCGTTTATATCATTCAGTCCGTCAACGAAGTTCTGTCAGGTTTTGAGCTGGTTTTATATTTCACAGATGATACCTTGGCGTGACGAGGATGGTTTATCATGGTACATTCCCTGACGTGAAAACTCTGGATCTTTATTAACATCAACACCGACATTTGTCCACGATGCCTGGGATTGCGGATAACCAGGATACCACACTTCAGTTGCTATAGATGTTGGTCCTCCACTTGCCAGCAAAAGCTGATTTGTCTGTAACAATTGAATGAAGGCTTTAAAATCTGTTGCTTGAAATGTTAATGCAACTGACATATTAGATTAAGAAGAAAAATATTTGTTTTCCGTAATGAGTTATGTGTAGGAACTACATGAAAATGAGTGAGAGCCAGAAATTACAGGAAATATCACAAATTTTGAAATATTCGGCAAATACCACAATATCAACTGCACGGTTCGTCCATGACGTCACATTATATTTGAAATTATAATAATGTTGGGTTATTCTAATTTTCCAATCCTTTAATAAACCATGACGCATCGTTAACCTGCTCATCGTTAGGTAATTTTATTAAAGTCAAGCTTTGAGCCAACCTTTGACCCGATGAAGTTTACAAAAATAAGTCAAACTCTGCTGAGATTGTTATCTAATAACTGACCTTATACTCCATCCCAGTCCAGATGGCAATATGTGTCGAAGAAGCAGAAATCAGTGAACGTAAGTAAGTGCGAAGTGACTGGTAATGCGCGAGGTCGTAAATATTCGCGGGCTTTCCGTTCATTGATTTGCAGATTGATATTCCATCGTTGAAGGTGACATTGTTTGTACCATACACAACTGCTCGGAAGCATTTTGTCTCATACGTGACGTCACATTTAACTGAAAGCAACATTATTGTTGTCATTGAATCTTTTATATTAAAATTTTAGAATATTTTAACGATATGGGATTTAAATTTTGTCGGATTGCTTCTTTTCAAAATAGAAATTTTGGAAATACTGTAATCTACTAATTTTGGAGAGAAGAAAGTTGATATGACGGAACATAAATAAAGCAAACAAATCTTTTTCAGGCATCATAATAGCTATCAAGTTAATATACATGGTTGGTGGACAAAGTTGTAACAGACTAGGGTCATAAAATTAAATACTCATTCTTTGACGGTTTGGCATATTTTATCGTCGAATTATAAATCTTTAAATTCAAATATAAATTACTTTCAGCTTTTTTCTTTCCATCAAGACTCTTCTTGATCAATCTGACGATATCTGCAAAACAATGACATATTTTATTTTTGTGTGATGTATGGCGTTTTAAATCAGTTTTCATCATATTAAAGGTCCATAGTTTTTTTCATCGACGACCCTAATAACTTTGTAACCGCTGTATACTTTAACTATCTTACACGCCGAGAATATTTTTGCACCATTTACTATAGCGTAATTATGACTCAAAAGTCTGTCATACGTTTACGGTGACAAAGATATTTTCAAACACAATATCTATCATGACGTAGGGCGAACTCACCAGATCCATCGTCTCTCTGTGAAATAAATAAAAAAAAGCAGTTGATTACTAAAGAGAATATAATACGTAAGTTGTTTTAGATTATATTAGTTGCGTGAGATGCAGAAATCGGATTGAAAATTGGGTTGGAATTTAACCAAAAAGTATTGAGTTCTTACAAAAATATTAGCCCTAACAGTACCAATGGTCTCTTTCCTAAAGCATTGCTTGGAGACAAAGTAACTCCATACATAAAGTGACTGTCAACCAAAACCCAGCTTAGAGTCAAACAGTAAAAACACCTGATGATAATAGTAACTTGACTTCACCTTGCAATCTCCAACTTGTACGAGTTTTCAATTCACGATCTTGGAAACGCAGAATCCAGCTGTCAAAATGGGATATTTTTAGGATCAATTCAACGATAACTTGTTCCAAGATTATAGGCGTTGCTACACTCTTGTATTTTAGAATTCTTGGTACCGGATTTAGACGAAGATTGCTTGCAATTCAGTATTTTAAAATCAACCAAGTAATTGTATTCGAAGCAAACCTTACCCGGCACTTTGGGCTCCCCAACCAAGCCACAGATGAGAGAGATAAACAAAATAGTTTTGACAAAGTCCATGTTTGCTACCAGAAAGCTTTGATGACGCAACTAAATGCTTAGCTATAAACTAAATATCTGTAAAAAATATCCGAAGGTTTTATAAGTTGCTTATTTTATAAGCTCTTCGTTGGTTTCAGGATGATGTATTTTTGGACCTTTTTCGACTTTCCTGATCTTTTTAATATACAAATTCAAAACAAATATGCAACATTCATGAAAAACATTATATATTAAATATTGCAGATAAATTAAAAGTAAATAAAAGTTCCCATCCAGCTGTGCCTGTTCTAAGTTAGAACAGTAATCACTGGTACACAGTTACGTACACATAGACAGATAACAGCTAAATTAGTTGTAAACACCATCATTGCGTAATCTTCGACAATTATATACTTTGGGGTATTCATGATATAGTTCACGATACATACGCAAAGCAGATATGCAACACCTATCAACCATTATTGTACGACATCAAGGTCACCCAGATTCCAAACCAATCACTGAAAACAGGTCGGCAGGCGCTTACAGAATCAACGAGTATGAGACTGGCCGTAGCAAGTGATCAGACAGTGATGTTATCCGTGCTGTAAGTAAAAAAGGAAACATAAAAACACCCGCATGACGCAGCATCCAAACTGCATTCACTTATTTTATTTGTGCAGTTGAAAGCAGTTTTTATTCCCGTACGGTGTTTAGTTAGACCTCACTTCCTGTGGTATATATAAAACAAACTAAAGAACAGAATATTCTTGTTGCACCCATTTACCCGGTGCGTTTAGTATATTCTGTTGTACGACAATACACTGTGGTATATCTACATTCTGTATATAAAATGGCATTCATTGGACATCTTCAAAAATTGTTAAAAAAACGTTGTTTTTCTTTTGCTAGAGAAACCCGTACTGATAAATTTTTACGACGTATGCTATAGCGTTCGCGAACTAACGAGACAAATAATTTATTCGTTAACTTTGAGTGTTCTCAGTTGTATGTCGGGCATATTGAATAGACTAGGGCGTCGAAATTACGAACCACGGGATGGATCCGGTCTAACGAAGTGTTTTAACGCCCACTTTTTCCTTCGAAATATTTTTAGGATCCATTACTACTGACTGCTCATCTCGGCAGCCAATCAGTGCAAAAAAGAAAAACGTGTGTGCATCCTGCGGAGAAGCGCCACTTTTAAATGGCGTGCGGCCCGCGAAACAAGTTATTAATTCAATCTAGTATGTGCAAGTAATTCCAATCCCTTCGTTGCAAATTCTATACCTGAGTCCAATTTATTATTCATGCTTAAGACGTTCCAATGTCCTAATAACTTGCATGTGTGAAACGAACAACGATGGGATAAAACCAAATTTTTGTGCCTGCAACTACTATAAAGCCTATGTTAAATAAAGGTTCGGCTGGAGTTTCACTCGGGTAATTGTATCTGTCCTCTTGTATTAAAGGTTGCACCTCCCACAATTAAAGAATGCAGATAAATTGGAGATAAATAAAAGTTCCCATCTAGCTGTCTTAAGTTAGAACAGTGATTACAGTAACAGACAGATTACAGCCTAATTGGATGCCAACATCAGCATGGCGTAATTTTCAACAATTATATAAGGTGTCCGTATGCTACATTTATCAACCAGTACCAACTTTCATGACCTTTGACCGATGCTGCCAGCAACGTTTTCACTGATAATCGAGGAGACGCTCGCCCTGCCGCACTGTTTCAGAATTCGAGCGGTTGCTATTCGTACCAGCTTTGAAATATCATGTTCGTTCAATTAACCCATAGCACGCAGACAAAGGCAGATATGTATAGCCTGCCAATTGCTTCTAAAAGTTACCAAATTATGTTGCAGGTTATTACCACGCTCTGTTTGCAGATTGGGTTGAGTACCGGTACCGTAGTGGTGCACCCTTATTGCAGTACCATCAAAGGACATCGTGACAAACTAACCTACAGTGTACCTTTAAAACGGCAAACCTACTTTAGCACAGTATTTGGATTCAACTAAAAAACGATCTTTCAGATCATCTACCGTCAAACCACATGCGAATGCACAGCAACATCGCAGCGTCCCCTCAAAGCAAGGTAAAACGGGGTTCTGACAGCAGTCGTCACGCTTCGTTGAATCGTATGAAAGTTGGTAATTGTTATGCGACATAAAGTTCACCCAGAGTCCAAACCACTCACTGAAAACAGGTCGGCAGGCTCTTGTAGAATCAACGAGTCCGCTATATGCGACTGGCCGTAGCAAGAGATCAGACAGTCATGGTATCCGTGCTGTATCTACAAAATGAAACATAAAAACACCCGCATGACGCAGCATCCAAACTTCATTCACTTATTATATTTGTGAAGTTGAAAGAAGTTTATATTCGCGTGTTGAGTTTTGTTTGAGGGTCACTTCCTGTGGTATATTTAAAACAAACTGAAGAACAGAATATTTTTGTTGCACCCAATTACCCTGTGCGTTAAGTATGTTCTCTTGCACGACAACACATTGTGGTATATCTAAATACTGTTTACAAAATAGCATTCATTGAACATATTCGATAATCGTTAGAAAACGAACAATCGGAACATCGTTTTGCAATCGATAACCATGAGTCTCCATGGCGCCAAAACTGTTATTTGACTACAACCTTTGTTGTGTATGATCGGGGTTGCATCTCACTCCGAATTCTGAGTCATTTTAAAAACGATTCCAATTTTTATGTTGTTAAAAGATTTGACTCGGCCTCGGAGAAACCCTAATTTTGATACAAGACTTTGGCCTGCAGTTTAAATTCATATTACAGTTTAAATTTGGCCTCCTTTGATTGTCTGTTAAGAATAATTAGTCAACTTAATCCTTTTTATGTTTCTTTGGATAATTTTTGAGTTCACTATTGAACTTTGAAATTCCCAATCCCGCGAGTTTGAAAGTTCTACTCCTATACCAATCTGCCAAACTCCGACAGCCCCGTTGCCAGATTTGATATATTAGATCGACTGTGAATTCTGCAGATTGTGGATGGAAACATACACATGCACTCAAATCGCTCTTTGGCTTTAAGATTCGCTGGGTAGAATAATCAAATAAAAAGCTCAGATTTTAAATGATTCGCGTCAATCAATGGGTTAAAAGGAGACTCAAAATTCTAATCTCAAAATGGCCCCTTTGTAACGTTATGTTGATAATTCTGCGTTCGTATGAAAACACCCGCTAGACGGCGCATTTTGTCACGGCACCGAAAATGTGATTTTACCCGGCTGCCTTACTTTCGTGCGAGGAAACACCGACCAATCTGATGGTTCTATTTTCGAGGTTTCAACCCGCGTATTATGCGTCTACGTGGCTGTGTCATTTGTTTCACTAAACCAGCATTCGCGGCTCCTTTCAATCTAATTAATACAATTTTATTCCGATTTCTGTTCAAGTCCATGTATCTGAAACGAATACCTGGCTAACTAATCCCATACGCGACATGAAATGGTAACCGGGCGAGAGGCCATATTGTTAACCCGTCTCATCGGATTTCCTCTTCCCGGGATAAATATGTAAATCCTATCCTTCGTGTGAAACAGCACAATAAACTGGCGGATGCAAAGAAATCTTAAAGTAATATAAATTCAAATCGATTTCATTCCAACCCTTTTGTAATCCGAAACTTCAATTTGAAAAACCGAATCCCTCGTTTTGTGAATTTCGACTGAAAATCCTTATCATTGACCTTTAACCGCAACTTTTAAGCTTGCGACCCTTTCCATATATAAAATTTTCCGCGACCTCTGTTCGGCTTTGTTATGCAAGCGCTCATCTTCTCGGGTCTTACGATCATAGTCGGCATTGTTATGCGGGCGCACCGCTTCTTTGATTCTATGTATTCTATCGAAATTGTGAAGATTATGTCCCGCACTAGTTTTATTAATTGTGTTTTGAATCAACTTCTAAAAAAATAATATAGATATATATAGTGTTTTGCATAGTACTTTGTGTGAAATTGGTGTACTCTTTGCGACCCCTCAAATTCGTTGCGCGGCCCTCAGGGATGTCGTGACCCCCAGTTTGAGAAGCTCTGGTTCAGACTACCAACTGGTATTTCTGGTCAATCGCGAGCATTTTTGGGTCAATGGCGATACTTCCCGACTGATGACTGCCATCTCAAATAACTGTCTGCTGTTTCCGGTTAATGTCGGTTTTATCGACCAATGAAGACCGTAATGGACGCAGGTCGCATTTTGGTATTTCTTCTTTATTATTGTGTTCGAGAGAGTGAGATTAGCTATGATGCAAAATGTGTTTTTCTTGCACGCTATTAGCTGCGGCAATCGACCGACGACGACCCATGCTCTGTAGTTAGTATTGTGGAGGGACTGGAGTTGTCCTGTTTTTTATTGTTTTGTGTTTCGTGTCTAGTTATTACATGTGCATTGGTGTGTGGAGTCTGAGCCTTAATTCGCCCGACAGTTGGTTTTGGTTGCTCGACTCCAACCACCACTGCATGTGTGAACTGTGCTGCGGATTCGCAGTCTCGGCCTCTTTCTGCTTTGCTGTCCTAAGACTAAGCTTTGTATTTTGTCCCTCTTATTTTATCTGCTTTAAGCGTGTATTTTACACCATTTTACTAAAGTCTCTTCGTTTGCATCGTAAACTTCGAATCTATTTGTGTGTCTTTGCAGAACACTGAATCTTCTGAACTAATTATTACAGTATTATTAGACTGTATTAGTGGCGAGCACCTACCGGTATTCCGATTAAGTCGTACTGTTGCAAATTGACGAGCAAGCGCCAGGATTGAAAAGTCAAACGATTTTTTAATTAAAATTTATGATGTCACACCGAAGAAAGAATTGCGACCTTGAACGCACATAAAATATGGGAAAAAATTGTCGAGATGGAAACCGAAAACAAAGAAATTAAAAACACGAATAAAGAAATACAAATGGCGAATAAAGAAATTCAAGATAAGAATAAATCACTGGAAGCTGAGAATAAAGAACTGGTTAGACAACTGCAAGATGCTTTGTCATAACTGAAAGTAGTCAAGACCAGTGTTATACAACTTGAAGAGAC